TTCAGCGATGCCAGTCTGCCAGCATCGCGGCCCGCACTGAGTCCAGAACTACTCTCCGTGCTGCTGTAGGTTGTAGGAATGTCCACGTCCATGCCATGCGCTATCACTTGCCTACCACGTAGTCGCTCAATCGTACGTTTGCTTCTGCGTCGTTCTCGGTCGCTTCAGACATGACTCGACTGGTGGTTCCTGGATTGCAAATCCAGTGTCTTCCTTCACGGGTTTCTTTCGCGTCTTGCGCTTGCGTCTCTTGGTGACCTTCACTGGTTCAGGTCCCTTCTCAGGTGCAACCTGAGAATCAGCAGATTTCTCCACTTCTTGCTGTTCGACGCTCGACGAGTCATCATGCTCTGCACTCCCACTGGACGTTTGCTCTCCGTCCACAGCCCATTCAACTTCTAGGAGTTCACCTGCCTTGCTCATCGGCACAGTCCCACTACTCTCTGTAGTGTAGGTCTCGATACTCGTCTTAATTCTCACTACTGGTGGCTTCTCCGGCAACACGTGCAGTGTGTCCAGGTACGCATTCTCCAGTAGTTGCTTCACGTAGGTTCCATCCACTGTGAACTCCTCATGAAAGCGGCAGCTCTCTCTTTGTGCAGTCTTCACCTGACAGGTCAATAGGTCTAGAAACTTGTAGCCCTTCGTAGAGTCGCTGTAACCGAGCAATAGACACATTTGTGCCCGTGGTTCAAGCTTCTCCTTTCTTTGTCTTGACTCAGGTGGTACTCGTACATGTGCAATACACCCCCAGGTTCGCAACATACTCAAGGGCGGCTTCCGTCCGTACAGCCTCTCGTGCGACGAAGTCATTCCCAACATCTTGGTGGGTAACATGTTTAGTGTTGTCACCATGTGCAGCAAAGCTTCTCCCCACAACATGTTCGGTAAATGTGTTGCTGTCAGCAGCGCTCGCACACGAGGCAGTGCAATGCCGTTCGCCCTTTCTGCGATCCCGTTCTCTTGGGGAGCATACGCGTTTCGTGAACTGCTGCACAATACCGTGTTCAACACAGTACTCATGCAGTTCCGCTCCAGCGAATTCGCCACCTTAATCCGACCGAAGATGCAACACTCTGTAGTCTTTGTGATGCGTCCGCAACTCCTTTAGCAGCTTCAAGATGAACCCAGGTAGCTTGACTCTTCTTCTCAAGTAGATAGGCCCACTTGTATCCTGTAGCAACATCCACAATGAACATGAACATAATAGCTTTACTTGCTGTCTCCACATTCATCGTGCATATGTCCATAGCCAGAGTTTCAAGTGGTTTAGTCGAGCGAACTGGAAGTCGTTTCTGACTCATGGATTTTGTCTTGCTCACAACACAGGCAATGCATTCGTATGTGTTCAGATCTTTCGTGTTGAGCTTTACCCCCAAGTCCATCTTATCTGCCATCACCTGAAGCAAAGCCATATGTAGATGGCCGAAGCGCTGATGTAGGAGCTCCATCGTCTTCTTGTCCTCTACAGCTTGCTTAGCCATGGCCATGACCATCACACCGGTTGCCTTTTCTCTCCGCAGCCGGTAGAGATTGTCTCGCATCTCAAACTTTAGGATGGTGCCCGGTTTCGACATCCACGCCGTCTTCTGGTCCATTGAGCACATCAGCTTGTAGTTTCCTGTAGTCTGTAGGTATCCCATACTAATCAGGTTGACCTTGGCATTTGGCGTGTAGACTACATCATCCAGCAGACGATCCTCAAGTTCACCAGTCGCTTGGTTGATCACTCGCAGTAGGACAGAGCCACTAACCGTCGTGTGCTCCGTAGTGCCATTTGCAAAGTCGAGTCGGCTCGTCTTATCTTCTCGCAGTGTCGTGAACAGAGATAGATCACCACAAATGTTGGCCTGTGATCCCGAGTCGAGGATCCACTCCGTAAAGTTTCTCACGGCTCCTCCACTTTGGGCAGCAAGTGCGTCAACACAACACGGAGGCTCCAGTAGACTTGGTGTTCCGTCTGCATGACAGCTCCTCGCGACCGCGGACTCATAACCGCCCCACTGTGCTTAAGTGGCTGCGACTCTCATTGAGGATGGCAACCTGGCTCAGCCTTGGGATCTACTACTCTTTACACGCGATCAAAGACAACTACGTTTGTACGAGACTCACGCCGATTACGATCCACTCCAATACCCGCTTCTCCTTCCATATGAAAAGAAGGGCTGGACCTACACAGACGGTTTCGCAAATGGTGCTGAGTATGGAAATAAAAAGGCGATGTCGCTTCGTGAACACGTAGCGTTCCGCCTTCATCAGAAAGTGGATGATCAGTCCGCTCTCCACCAAGGCGGGCGTCTATTTTAACAGCGGTATGTAGATCGGCGTGCAAAATGTGAGCAAGAGCCGCTTCGCTGGGAGGCCGACAATCAGAAAACACTTCGCGCCGATCAATACAGGAGTGTGCAAGACGCTTTACTCAATGAAGATACTTTGGCTCTGGCGGAAGGAGAAGTGCTGCTGTCGGAATATGACCGGGTCCAGAACAGATTGGTGCACCCGGACCGGGACGGAAGCAGCAGGGGGCGACCTACCCTTTCTTAATCAGGTTGGCAAGCGTATCATACTACCGACGCGCGGGGAATTCTAGGAGGCCCTGTGCGAGAACGAACGCATTAACGCGACACCCATGCAAGAGGAAAATTATGCGCGAAAACGACGTCAGACCAAGCGCAGCAAGAAACGATGCGACTTAAACAAAACAGCTGAAGGCCCTCAGTGTGCATAAAGAAGCTACGGCGCTTACGAAACCTACGGAAGGTCAAGCTAACCGTATTGAAGAGCGGGAGGAAAAGGCAGAAGAGTCCGATCCTGTGGCACTTCAGCGCCGGTTTGCGGCTGAAATGAAGGCGGCGTACCAAGCTGAAACTGAGGATACGGCTTATTTACAGTACCTGTCGTATTTGAACCAGCGGTTCGAGAAGGTGTCCCCCTCTCGGCTGCGCAGCGAGCTCGCGACAAAAGAGCTAATAGGACACTGTCTCAGGCAGATTGCGAGCGAGCACGC